AAATTTTTAAAAAGCCTATGGATCAGGAACAGAGAAAGTAAGGGGGCACTGTTGGAGTAATTCTGCACAGGGGATGAAGAATTGAGCACAAAGCACCCTGTCAGCCATTCAAAGTACTGGACTTGACCCTGACATCAGGCATTAAATGTCAAGATCAGAACGTCATTTTCATACGATTTTGTTGACTATAGCATAACAATAAGAGATCATAGGTGACCAAAGCAGAAACTTTTACACATTTATTGCAGGATTCTAGGTAAGAAAAGATAGAAACTAGTACTGCCGGATGCTTGCAAGGCAAATGGAGAAAACTGATTATATTTAAAGATATTAAAGAATTGAAATTGAGAATCCATTGAAGAGTCAGGTCAGTTCGTGGAACTAAAATCTGTAGCTCTTACCTATGTCATAGCTTTCTTCTTGCCTTCACAAAACTGGGCTAAGAATAGAATATTAAAAAGTGCTATAGTGGGAACCAGTGGATGGAATAATGGTTACATTGCTCGACTCCCACGTAGTTGACTGTGGTTTAAATTCCAGACCCAGTGGCTTAAAACTCACACAAGGCTTGTGTATGTGCATGCCCAAAATCCGGAGAGGAGATTGGAGGAGAAGATTGTGGTGTAGCCATACCCCCTTTCTTACTTTCTTTCTCCCTCTGTGTCTCTGGCAAGCACATGTACCGTGTAGCAAAAAAATCTCTCTCTCAAAAAAAAAAGGTACTATAGTTAAGTTACAACATGTGCTTATGCAGGTGCATGTATGTGTGCTTGTGACATACATCTCGTTTAGAATATGTGTTAGAAATACACACTGGGAAAAATTGTCAAACAAAGAGGTAATATAAAGATCAGCTAAATAATGAAGTTATGAGAAGCACTTTTGAAAGTCAAGGGCTAATACAGTCATTTTTGGACAAGCAATATTCTTCTAGCTGAGAGAACTGTGCTGCCAGCCCACAGATATCCTGGAGGAATCATAGCTAGGCCTGGACTTTTGCTGTTGAGGAACTGGACTTTTACTAAATGTTGTGTGGCACTTTTCACATACTTTATCTGATATAAACTTTGTGTTTTTCCCTTTGGAATTAGAACGACTTTACAGACGAAGAAGCTATATTCAGGAAAATGTGATGGCTTGTATAAGGCCATATCAAGAAATATGGTGGTAGTGGATTGATGAGTCTGTGAACAGAAAAGTAAGAAAAGAGTTAAAAGAGGAGGTAAAACAGTGTGGCAAATGGCCAGTATTTGATGGAATCTTTTCGAAAATGCTCATTAAATGAGTGAGCCTTAAGCTAGCTCTTGAAATGTTGATAGCTCTTTCCCAGGGAAGAATTCAGAGTTTGGTCCTGAGCATACATTGTTTATGCCACCACATGAACTAGGCATAGGCAGGCCTTGTCAGAGGACTAGAGAGCATATCTAGAAAGTGGGTATAGCTTGTGCAAAGACTGATTTGAAAGAAGGAAGATATAGTCCACTAAAGGAAATTTTTAAAAAGCCTATGGATCAGGAACAGAGAAAGTAAGGGGGCACTGTTGGAGTAATTCTGCACAGGGGATGAAGAATTGAGCACAAAGCACCCTGTCAGCCATTCAAAGTACTGGACTTGACCCTGACATCAGGCATTAAATGTCAAGATCAGAACGTCATTTTCATACGATTTTGTTGACTATAGCATAACAATAAGAGATCATAGGTGACCAAAGCAGAAACTTTTACACATTTATTGCAGGATTCTAGGTAAGAAAAGATAGAAACTAGTACTGCCGGATGCTTGCAAGGCAAATGGAGAAAACTGATTATATTTAAAGATATTAAAGAATTGAAATTGAGAATCCATTGAAGAGTCAGGTCAGTTCGTGGAACTAAAATCTGTAGCTCTTACCTATGTCATAGCTTTCTTCTTGCCTTCACAAAACTGGGCTAAGAATAGAATATTAAAAAGTGCTATAGTGGGAACCAGTGGATGGAATAATGGTTACATTGCTCGACTCCCACGTAGTTGACTGTGGTTTAAATTCCAGACCCAGTGGCTTAAAACTCACACAAGGCTTGTGTATGTGCATGCCCAAAATCCGGAGAGGAGATTGGAGGAGAAGATTGTGGTGTAGCCATACCCCCTTTCTTACTTTCTTTCTCCCTCTGTGTCTCTGGCAAGCACATGTACCGTGTAGCAAAAAAATCTCTCTCTCAAAAAAAAAAGGTACTATAGTTAAGTTACAACATGTGCTTATGCAGGTGCATGTATGTGTGCTTGTGACATACATCTCGTTTAGAATATGTGTTAGAAATACACACTGGGAAAAATTGTCAAACAAAGAGGTAATATAAAGATCAGCTAAATAATGAAGTTATGAGAAGCACTTTTGAAAGTCAAGGGCTAATACAGTCATTTTTGGACAAGCAATATTCTTCTAGCTGAGAGAACTGTGCTGCCAGCCCACAGATATCCTGGAGGAATCATAGCTAGGCCTGGACTTTTGCTGTTGAGGAACTGGACTTTTACTAAATGTTGTGTGGCACTTTTCACATACTTTATCTGATATAAACTTTGTGTTTTTCCCTTTGGAATTAGAACGACTTTACAGACGAAGAAGCTATATTCAGGAAAATGTGATGGCTTGTATAAGGCCATATCATGCATAGTTATGTTTTGTGGTATTTAATTTTATTTGGATGTATATTATAATAGCAATCACATGGCAAGCAGTAGGTTTACCTTGATACTTAAGTGTCGTGAACATCATCTGCCTGTAGCATAAATCAAAGACCTTTGAAGTGTGTTGGGACCAGCAGTTGGTGCAATGACTATGTCGCTGGACTTCCATGTAGTTGAACGTGGTGTGAGTCCCAGATCCGGTGGCTTAAACTCACGCCGGGCGCGTGTATGTGTGTGCCTAAGATCCTGAGAAGAGAATGGAGGAGAAGGGATTGCTGCATGACTGTCCACACCGTGGGGGCGGGGGGAGATTTCTCGCTTTCTGTCTCTCTGTCTCTCTCTGTCTTTCTGGTGAGCACACACGCTCTATAGCACAAACCTTTCAAAAAAAAAAGTGTCATACATTGCAGATGGGTCAACATCAGGCAACCAAGGGAAGGTACAAATGGGATGTTCACTTTGGTGATAAGGCAAAATTGAGGAAGAGATTTTCTGGGAAGCACAAAGAGAATTTTAGGAGAACAGGAAAGAAAATGTACTGAAACATCTTTGAAGGAAATGAGTAATTGGGAAGAAAATTCAGTCATAGGAAGATGAAAGAATCAGTTCATGTTGGGACTTAAAAGGCAATGAATGTTTAGACCAAACCCAGATGGATTCTTTGAGTTTAGATCAGTGCCTTTTAAGGAGTAGTTATCAGTTTTTCATGTAAAGATCCATTCTGAAGGTCTTATTGCATAAGGGTGAAATTGTCAGGATCTCTTCTGATCTGAAAAAAAGGTGGTGTCTTCTCCTAACCTCTAAAAAAGAAAAGACTGCCATGGGAAAAGACTTTCTTATAATTCCTTAGGCTGTAACTTACTTGGTGTAGTAACTCTAAGTGATGATTAGTGGGGAGGAAGAGAAGGAGGGGGTGTTCAGTCTAATCTACCAGCTGGGAGTGGAAATAAATCACACAGATAAATTCAAATAGGGCTGGAGCACTGTAGTCGGAAATACAAAACCAGCCATAGCAAAAAGAATATGGGGGTGGGATAGAGGGAAAGGATATATATCCTTTCGTAGACTGTTAAAGTTTTAAAATTAGAAGAGATCATTCATATATTCCAGCATCTGTCATTTTGCAAATGAGAGATGCCAGACTGAAGCAAATTGACGTGGTAAAAGTTCACACTCCCCCGCTCAAAAAAGTCAGCAGGCTATCTCTCTATATTAATTTATAAAGTCCAAATAGCATGGTCTTAGCATTTTAATCTTTCAAGATTTGGCTCAAACCTTATTCCTAATTTCATGTCTACTGCTACATTCTGTTGTCTAGATGAACACAGATGAACTGTTCTGGACAAACGTCATAGAACAGTGGTTAAATGTGTCAACTCTGGAACTACAATGTGCTATTTTAAATCCTGTGCCATGGTTTTCTAATCTGTAAAGTGAGGATAATAATGATCAATCATTTAGGGTTATTAAAATGATTAAACTACTTTTATGTCACTTAAATCAGCACTTAAATTCAATAAGTAGAAGCAAAGTGTTAGCTATAATTGTATTTTACTTTCCTTGAACGACTTGAACACTGAGGAAACCAAATTGTGGAGCAATGTATGGTTCCTGCCATTGCGTGGTTCACAATCTAGTGAGGAAAGCACTTGTACAAACAGACAGAATGGCGTGTGCCAATGCAGAAGCATGAGCATAGTCTGGGGGTGAAGAATAGACAGGTGTCAGTGCAGTTGGAAGGAGATGGGGGGATACAACTCCTAAATATGAGGAGAGCTTAGCAAGTGGATGAGAAGTCAGGGTAGTGAGTTTTGGTGCAAGAACATTCGAGATCAAGGCAATGGCAGATGGAAAAGCATAGGCTTGAAGAAGCAGGGAATGGGTAGATAAGAGTGGCATGTGCATCCTAGTTGGAGTGTGGCATGGCAATGAGGAAAGTGAGTAATGAGACTGGTTTACACTCTTTAGTGTAAGGCCTTGCGGATTGATTAAGCTAGCTGTTCAGAAACGTCCCTCCTTTTAGGCAACTGCAGGGAATTTTAAGCTGGGATGGACACACTCAAGTTGGCATCTTTGAGAGATAATCTGGGCTGTATTTCTGCTACTGTCTGTCTATGTATGAATCACATTTCCCCTAATACTTAATTTGGGAGTTTAGGGAGGACTCTGCACTTATAGCAATATTGTTTCACTGGTTAGTTGGGAATGAATATATGGTACCAGAGGAGTCCGTGAAGGAGTCAGAAACTCTGATATAAATTTGTGTTTATGAAGTACATGGACTATTACAGGAAACATCAGAATTTGAATTAACTCATTTTAATGTATTCTTTTAGGTCTGACAGCAGCAGCTGCAGCAGCTGCCGCTGCAACCAATGCAGCTATTGCTGAAGCAATGAAGGTGAAAAAAATTAAATTAGAAGCGATGAGCAACTACCACGCCAGTAATAACCAACATGGAGCAGATTCTGAAAATGGGGACATGAATTCAAGTGTCGGTAAGTTCACTGAAACTTACTGTGATCACTTTGCTACTGAATATGTACTTTTCCAGAACATTGGCTATCTGTTCAGAAAGTCAGAACTTTGAGCTCAGAAACAATTGACAGGTTGAAGATAACCATTTTGCCTCTCTAATGACATGTACTCTAAATAAAGAATTTGAAATATTATTTTTTTAATTACAAGAACAAGTTTACCTGTGCATCTTATACTATAAAATCTAGTCAACATTTTCATAATACAAACACATTTTATTAATCAAAATTCTAAAATACTGAGTATAGTTAAGGTGACAGAAGAATATAGTCAAATGAATCCCCACTTTGAAAGAATTTTTTAATACATTTGTTATCAAGAAAAGAAGTTACTACTATTAAGAGCAAAACATCTAACCTTAATCCTTTCACATGTTGTGAAAATACAAGAATTATGTTGATTACATCTTTTTATACACAATCACTATCAATATCTCTCTCATTCGAAAAATGTAATTTTAATTTCTTGATTTCTCTTTCCGGTAGAATGGAAAAAGAGAAATGAAAAATTCACTGTTACTGTCAAATCAAAAGAAACCATTTATTTTTGCAGAATATCCCTTTAGGTAGTTTGTTTTTTAAAATGCAATTTCAAATGTGGGTTAACTTTTTTTATTAATAAAATCTTTAGCATTTGGGTGTTAATGTGGTAAGGCATTTTATTTCGCTACTGCATGCTATAGTTTCCTTTACAATTCAGCAATCATGTTCAAAATATGATTTAATAAGAGAAATTTGGATACTAAAGATGTGCACAAGGTACTCTATTCAACATATGTTCATGAAAGACACGATAATTTATGGCAGTTAAATTAAATTCTCTTTTCCAATGCAGCATTTTAATAGATTATTCCTTAAGTTAATCAGCAGCTCTCCGCTTTCAGTCCATTAAAACATAGTTAAAAGTAGAGAAAGAATTAAATACTATGGATTTTAGTAGTGGTGATTTTCACAACAATTTGGTGGAAACATACACTACATATGAAAGTTAGAGTAGAAGTAATTTTGAAATATACCTAAAACACAAAAGGGCACTGTTTTCAGTGATGCTAAAGGTAAACTTCTGGTGTAAAAAGGTGAAAAATAGAAATTTCAGCAGAATTCCATAAGGGAAATTGAAAAGGCCTGAGAGAAATGAGCTCAGATTGAGAGGAGGTGGTGGTGGCAGTTCTTAGAAGGATAAGGGAAGAGAGTCAAAGAGATGGCGCTAAAACTGAAAGGGACCAAGGACAGTTCAGTCGTTGCTCCAGGGGAGAAGACGGCGAGCAGAAGCTTGTTCAGCTCATAGATTACACACATAAATTTAGGACTTTTAAAAGCTAAAACAGAATCAAAGTAAAATGAAAACAAAAGTAGAACCTTGTTTTTAGAACTATTAAGTATGCATTGTCTAGAAACAAAGACCTTTCACTTCGAATTACAAAACACAAAAAACGTCGGACACTTTCATAAACAAGTTAACTAGCTGCTATATATTATAGTTACCATTCCAAACATCATCTCGAGTGTTTTAAACATTTTGGAAGAGCAGACCTTCAATGCAGGCTGTTTTTGGTATTATGAGGAGGAATTTTTAAAATAGGCAACAGAATAACATCAAAAGCAAAGTGTATTAAAACATGACGCCTCTGTTTGAATTTTACCAAGCAGCAAAACAAAAGTCCGCTTTGCAGAAACCAGCGGGCATAAGATAAGAAGAAAATGGCTGGCCTCGTAGCCTACTGGTTAAGTGAGTTGGATTCCACATGGCAAACCAGCACTGGTGGCCTGAGAATCACACTAATGTGTGTTTGCATGCGTGTGTGTGTGTGTGTGTGTGTGTGTGTGTGTGTGTGTGCTTGTATGTCCAAACCTCTATAGGATGGAGACATGAAGGAGAAGAGATTGTGGCATGACCACACTCCATTGGAGTGCTTTATCTCTCTCTCTCTCTCTTTGTCTCTCTCTCTGGTGTGTGCACCCTTTGGCAATTTAACAACAACAACAAAAAACATGGCTTATAATTAATAATTGACATACATTTGATATTTGGCAGTGCAGTTTTAATTATTTTGTACACAGGCAATCATAATGGCATAAAACTTGATTCATATTTTCTTTTTTTTTTTTTTGAAAGAAAGCCCCTTTTTTTCCATTAAGGTAAATTTAGTTGGTACTTCATACCACTTTTATAGTTTTAACACCCACTATTCAACACTGATTTGAACCAAGAGCAGGAATTCACATGAATTTTTATGCTTTGAGATTGTGTTAACATTGGTGTCATTACTAATCCCCAATGCATGTAGATAATTTTTGTTAGATATCTTTAGCTGATCCGGGCAAAAATATGTGATCATTGTCATTTTCATTCTATTCTCACATACTTACTATCCTCTAAGAATTTATGATTAATACAATTATTTTTCCCGAGTCCCCTCTCCTCTCAGGCATTTATTTAAAGATCAGGGGATGTGAGTGTGGATTGGGATGAAGTAGGGTGGAGAAGGTATAGGGAAATGGTGATGGTAGGGTTGAGCTTGCATGGATCAGAGCACTGATTGAACTGAGCAGCCTCCTATGGCCCCAGTCTTCTCTGGTTCTGAGGACAATACCTGCTTCCTGGTAAGTCTTTAGTAATTATTAAAGACTTGTGCAATGCCTTTGGAAAGCTATGTAAACTTTCTAAGCCTAACATTCTACATCTAGAAAATGACATCAGTAGTAGTATCTACATCATGAGAATTAAAATATTGGACAAATATTTGCCACATTCTTTATTATAATGTCAAATATTTACCGCATGATTTACTATAAGGTCTGCTTGTCACATTGTGTGGTCGCCAGTATGGTTAGTAGTTCTGGGAATGATTTTGCTAATACGAGTATGAGGGGTCTTCAAAAAGTTTGTGGAAACAGCTTGTGGTCTGGTGGTTAGGGCATCTGGATCACACAAAACTAACTGCAGTTCAAGTCCCAGGTCCAGCAGCTTGAGAAATAGCAGGCGTGTGTGTATGTGTGTTCAAATTCCCAAAGGAGGAAGAAGTGAAGGAAGAAGTAAAGGATAAAATGACTATACCCCATGGAGGGTACTTTCTTGTTTCTCTCTCTCACTTTGTCACTTTCTAGTAAGTCCATATACCCTCTGGCAAAAAAAAAAAGGAAAAAAATAGAAATGAAAAAAATAAATGTTCATAGAAAATGCATATTATGAAAAGAAAACTATGCATGAATTTCAAAACTTTTTGCACTAAAATAACCTTGTAATTTAATTCCATTTTCTCATGAATTTTATTTATTGTTGTTTTTAATTAGCTACAAGGCATGTGCACTCACTGGAGAGAGACAGAGAAAGAGAGAGCGAGAGAGAGGGAATGAGAGAAAACACTCCCCCAAAGGAGGTGGCCAGGCTGAAATTTCTTCTCCTCCGTTCTCCTTTCAGGATTTTAGGCGTGCATGCAGATGTACAGTGCCTGTTTTTCAAGCCATCAGTTACAGCACTTGAACCATGCAGTCTGCAAAGTGGGATCCAGACACCTTAACCACCACCCCACTAGTGGGCCCTCTGTGAACGTTCTAAAATACTTCTCCAAACTTGCCCTCCTCTTTTTACTGCCTTCGACTGCTTCTTCCTATTTTTAAAAGAAATTTCTCTCTAGCTATCATTAAGCTGCCAACCAGTGAGGAAATTTGGGGGAAGCTATGACGTCACTTGGAGTTTGTTGTACCTTTGAATTCAGTTCATTTTTGGAATACAGAAATAATGATACAGGCTCAGAACTCGGGTGCAGATAGTTTGTGGCTGAGAAGGCTAAATAAGCAGGCAGTGATAACAGGATATACTGGGCCCTCCAGGAGAATCAGATGCTAGGAGGTGGTTAGGAAGTGACATTGAAGCGTATGAATTCTAGAAGGAATCCCAAGAATCTCCAAGGCCTATATTTCAGAATACAAACATACTACTCTCATGAATCTATCATTGGCTCTTTGATGTAGTGAAATCCTTCAGAGAGGTGCTACTTAAATGATGTATTGTTACTACTCAGTCTTGCCCAAATCCAGAGACATTTCTGAAGTCAAACCAGGGCTCTTTTTGACCTCCTGTATTCATCTGGCTCACAAGTTTTGTTAAACATTTTAGGCTTTTCTTTGCAGGAACACTATTTTCCCCACCTTTTTGGAAATCAGTCCTTTTAACTCCAGACACTAGAGTTTGATTTTGCTTGGTTTGGTTTCATTTGACTTGGTGAGACAGGATAATTTGGGTATAGATGTCTCTTTTCAGTTCATAATATGAATCTTAAAAATTAGCCAGCAAAGGGTGTTTAAAGAAACCTTTGGCAATGACAGATCATTATTTTATACCCCAATTTTACATGGTAACCTTGAGCTCACATCTTTCCCACAGAATGATCACTTTAGGAAGAAGTGAGGACCTCGGGAAAGATCCGAGTGAGGCATCAGCACACTGAGTAAAATATATGGCCATGTCGCCATTCTCCCTCATCCACAATCAATTGGATTCTTTTAGTTTAATATTTACTTGCTAAGATGAGATGCTAGTCTGCATGGTGATAAACAGTCTGCTCCTGGCATCTGAAGGTGACCTGTCAGTTCATATGGACAAATCTCCTGCTTACTGAAATGTACAAAATAAATCATTAAAGCAGGCAGGTGCTCATTCCCAGATTTAAATCACCATAGATTTATGATTTGAATTAATGCTTCATTTGGCCATAGAAATAGATGCTGAGACAAATGATATGCACTGGTTGGGGTTTCCATACTGTAGCCATCCTGATATTGATTACTGAGATGTCTTTGCAATCTCTTGTTTATATCAAGTACTATCTTGTGACAGGTTGGCTGATATGAGCTACATTGCAGATAAGGAGGAAAAATGTCTTGGATTCTTTTTAGTGGCAACACTATCCACAACATGCAGGCCAGATAAATTGCTATTTTTTTGCTTTAAGGACTGA